TACTTCACTGACTCTGTTTCCATAATGCAAAAATCTCTTGTTTCATTTTTTGAAGGAATAAAAGTAGGGTAATATATGGAATATAAGTAGGACAATACCAGCACTTTCAGATATATCCCTGACAGCTCCCATCTTTGCCCATAACAAAAAACTGCGAGGCCACATTTTCTTGTTCATGGGCTGTGAAGAAAGATATGATATCAAGAAGAAGATAGCTGAAAATAACAGATATCCTTCAAACATAATGTACCTATAAGTTAATTAGGAAGAGAAAATTTACAGTGTCTTCGTCAATCCTCGACTTTTCAGAAAGATGAAGACTCAAAATTTATTGTTATTTCACACGAACCAAAAAACAATGAAGGACTGGTCAAAATATTTGAAAAATTCAATATAGAAGTGGCTTTCAAAACTACTCATACACTCCAACAAGTGTGAGAAGTTCTATAAAACATGTGTTGGTTGCTACAATTTTCGAACTCGTAAACCAGAGAATTCCATTGTTGCTCATTACGCTCATAGAAAACGGTCACAAAATGAGTGAGGAATGAATTCTTCATGACAACGATAGTTTAGAAATCGGAAAATGTAAAAGGAGAACTCTTAGCCCATTGCTCGGACTCATACATCATTACATTAAAAAAAAAGGTCGAGATTAGGTATAAGTCAGGGCAATAGTATAATAGGACAATGACAAAATACTAGTATTTAATTCAACAAGCATCAACATGCAAGGTGAAGATTCGTCTAGATGCATAAAAAACATTCCCATTGTCTATAAGAAGTCATCTCCTGATGACTTGGTTAGCGAAAACGAGCCTCGAGAGACTGTTTTCTTCTGTTGGGAGAAAAGTGTTTTCAATAGTTTCATTTCATACCAGAGGTTTAGAATTCTACTTACCAAATCAAAGAACTAGCTAAAATCGTGAATCAGATAAGACCGATTCCCTTCAGTGGATGTGTATTATTCGACAACATGTCGAATCAGTTTTAGAAAAACTCTTTGGTTAATGACCTTTCCAAAAAAATAACCTGAACACCTTAATTCTGAGATTTGTCAGATTGCTAGGTACGATATAGCCGTGGTAATATTTCCCATGTCCTCCATAACACTTAATTTCATCGGAGTCCTGTTAATTTCGTGACAAAACAAAGAAACAGAAGAATCCTCCATATAAAAGTGAAGTTGGCGGTGGTAGACCTCTTACTCCGATCGTCGTTTGTTGGAGGCGAAAGAGCGAAAGTTGCCTTGGTCGCCTTCGATTGCAGTGACGAAGAACAGAAGAAAAATCATTCAGTGCAAGATATGCGGCGTTGAGAGTGAAGTGAGAATTCGTTTTGCTCAGAGTGACACTGTGTTGTGCTTCGAACGGCTCTGCAGGGCCGGATTTAGACCTTTCTCGTTCTTGGAGATATCAGCGGGCGATATGGCGGGCAAAATTTTCATGTGAGTCAAAACTGTTCATACTCATTTCTAGTCATTTTATTGCATCTCATATATTTTCAGATAACAAGTCGTAGGTATTGAAGTGGGGCATACCTCGAAAAAATTTTAATCGTTTCAATCGTTTCATTTTTGTATAAAGTAGTCACCAATCCTTTCATCATGACTCATTACCGAAAGTTACTTAAAGGGAATTGCTCAATTTCGGCTTGAAGTGATCAACTGAAAGTGAACAACTTGCTAAGAAAAAGATATTTTCAGGAAACAATTCAAATGTTTCTGAAATGAATATTTATGCATTTCTCGTTGCATAAAATATATTTTTGGAAAGTTTTGTCAAAGATATTGCTATATGCTACTTACTCATTTTTGTAAATCTCATTTCATTGCAACAGTTAGTCATTAATACATGGTTAGCCAGAACACCCTAACAAACTGTGCAATTCCTTTTTCAATGAAATCTAGATAATAATGAAGACAAAATCTTTTATCGAAGTGAATATACTCATAATGATTGATACAGGGTTAATTTGACCAGTTGGGATTTAATAAATTGATGGATGTCCCTACTACGTGGTAGGAGATCATGAAAATCGAGAAATGAAAATGTCTGTGGTGGTAAAAAAACATAGAAATTGTCATTTTTCATTTTTCAAGTTGGGATTTATAATTATCAGTTCAAACACAGAAATATCAATTATCACGGCTCAATTCTTAAACATTTGTAGTATGAAAAATGGCAAAGTTCAGTATACATCTAGCAAAGATTTTTCCAATTTCGAATATCAATTAGGAAGCCATGACATACTAAATTTTTCTTCAGTTCCAATTCTGAAGAACATCTTCTGACTTTAAAATTAAAATGCATTCATTCCTTAACAGGACATTTCATAGGTACAGTTGGAACCTCAGGCATAAAATGAATCTAGTGAAAAAAAATTATACAAGAACTATAGCAATGGCTCTTGGCGCGTGTTTCTTCAACTAATTCATCATCAGCAAATGAGATGAGCCCCAAAGGAAACGTATAAGCTAGGAAAAGGAAGTAATTACATTGTCCACCAGTTTATTTGAGAGATCTCTGCAAATATACTCTCTCGTTGATTTTCAACGTAGATACCGATATGGTAAAATACTAAAACGAACATATATTGAGGCTTTGAAAAAAGAGAAATATTTCACTCCCTATGCTTTTAGACCATTATCCTAACACTACAAATCCAACAAATTTCTTTATTTAACGAGAAATATGTGAAGAATGCTTCAGAATATCACACAAAATGTCGTTTAATTGAGAGAAACATTACAAAAAAAATATAATGAAAAGAAAAATTATCTTAGTAACAGTAACCAAATACTTCCGCATGTTATAGTTGAATTTTAGCCATACTGTGTAATAGGTGAATAATGTTTCCATTAATTTTATGCAAATTATTTTCTTCCATATCAGAGTTGCAATATCTGAAAAGTTCACAAATAGAAACGATTGTATAATATTCACCACTTATCTTTAATTACAGTGATTATAAATACTTCCGCATGTTATAGTTGGATTTAAGCCATACTCTGTAATAGGTGAATGTTTTCATTAACTTTAAGCAAATTATTTTATTCCATATCAGAGTTGCAATATCTGAAAAGTTCACAAATAGAAACGATTGAATAATATTCACCACTTATCTTTAATTCAATTGGAGCACAAGCAATTATGAGTTTATAATTTATCCATAATTATGTAATACTTCACTGACTCTGTTTCCATAATGCAAAAATCTCTTGTTTCATTTTTTGGAGGATTAAAAGTAGGGTAATATTTTTGAGTCGCCAATTTTCTCTAAAATGTTGACTAAACCAAAGATTTAAACAGTTTTAGAGTGTGAAAGCTGAACAAAAATTCACAGATGAAATTATTCGCAATGTAGACTAATTATTTTCATACAAACTTGAAATTCACTAAATTTAATGGTTGTGAGTTAAATTCAACGATAATTCCTAACCAAGGCAATTCAAACGACAAAATTGTGAAGTGAAAGGAAACGACGAATGACCAAGGCTACTATGCCACAAGTTTAAACAAAAATTGTTCTCGCTGTTTATTGAATTCCTAAAACTCCGTTTATGGAATCTTCAGACAGATCTATAAAAATATATCTCCCATTACGGAAACATTTCACACTTTACTTGGCCATCTTTGATGTTACAGATAAGTTTCTTGCGCCACTAATTAGTGGAGAAATAAGTATAATACCCAGGATTTATGAACAAAACTTTTCTTTGGGGAGATTGTTTTTATGAAAAGTTTTTATGGATTTTCATTTCAACAAGGATGATGAAAAATCCTTCAATGGAATGTAAGAATCGTTCATGAAGGAGTATCATATGCAAAAAGAAATAATTGGTCTATCTATCTGAACCATATAGATAACTCGTACATAAATACGAATTTATTGTGACTTCAAATGTCTGAAATGATGCTGGTCAGGAGTTGAATAGAATTTTTCAACTAGAAACCAGTGTCTAGTTACCATTAGAATATTCGAATGGATAGATTTCGCATATTAACTCTCTCATTATGTTGTGTAAGAATTTCCATATGGATAATATCTGTAAATAGTACGCTGCCTGTTCCAAAATTGAAGTGAGTTTTCATTTTTCTCGAAAAATGCTCATTCAGTAATATCTACTTTGTTCCCTCCGAAGTCGTCCCCCTCAAATATAATACACTTGTGCCGGTTTTTTTTCAATTCTCGAAGCAATTCTGATATGCACTTTCTGGTACGTCCTTGAGGTCACTCAATAATTCGCTGTTTATGTCTTCAATCATCGCAAAAAGCTGTCCTTTCATGAGTCGCTTCAATCTTGGGAACAGGAAAAAGTCCTAGGGGGCCAAATTTAATAAGTATGAAGGTTGAGGTATGATTACGGTGTTGTTTTCGGTCATTATCGAGAACCATGAATTTTTATTGCAATACCAGACGTGTTTCGTGTTGTTTCTCGCCAGCGGTGCATAACTTCGGGATAATACTCCTTATTGACCGAACGACCATGTAGCAAGAACTCCTGATGCACTACACCACATTATTCGAAAAATAACAATGGGCAAAAACTTGACATATCATCGAACTTGGTGTGCTGGGCTCTTCAATTGGGAGGATTGGACTTTGGTTTCGATGTCATAACTGTATACTCATGATTCATCACCAATTATGACCCTTTGAAGTAAATCTGGATCTGGAAAAGTTTATTTCCTTGTTACGAAGTAACTGTTGAGAAAAAAATTGGCTATCTTATACGTGAAATAGTTAATTGGAGTTTTTTGGTGATTATTCAAATTCTTGTTCTGTGGAAGTTAGGTAATCGTCAATTGAAGTTCTACAAAGTTATTTTAGTTGCCTACAGAGAATTACGAGTTTTGTAAAATTATGCTGAGATGGCATATAATTTGGCGCTGTTCTGACCGAAAACTATCATCAATGCTCGAACATTTGGAAACAGTGTGCAAAAGCCATGCGTCAGATTCGTTTTGGCGGCAGTAGGCTAGTCAGTCGATTTTTGCCTCATAAAAGTTTTCATGAACTGATTAGGAGTTGCCTCATTGTTGATTGTTATTTGAAATCAAGGTAAGTCCCAATACGTATTTATGTTCTACTATATCCTATATTATAGTGTCGTTAAAACAAAGCTACTAAAATATAGGTTTGTGTCTGAGATGGCATACTATTCGTGGGACGAGATGGAAGGGTATGCCTTCTCATACAAGTATGTATGCGTCTCATACAATCATATTCATTTTGTTAATTTGATGGCTTCTTTCCAAACATAGTTATCTATTATTACAGTGGTGGATCGGTACGAGAGAAAATCATCCAGGCAAAACTGATCCGAGCAAAATAAGCAGGAAGCCAGCGTAGCTGTTAAACAAAAAATAATGGGATGGATAATGGCATCAAAAACATACATTGTTCCATTTTGGAAGTTATATCGTACGCAATAGTGGCATAGCGCTGTTTTGCTTCCCGCCCCACTGTACCTATCGGGTGCAGCCTCTGGACGTGAGTTTTTATTCGGCTCTTCGTTCATACTACAATCAAGAGCTTACGGAGTGTAACACATTTCCAAGTTGCAGAGATTCTCAGCCCAGCATATATGAAAGCAGCCGCTGTTAAGAACGCAACAGATGGTTTTTGTTCAACAGTCATTTGCCCCTTTAATGTAAATGTCTTTCCAGACTGGATGTTTTGCCCTGCCAGCGAGAACGGACGAAAGAAGTTGTTTCCATTGCTCCAGGACCATCAGGTGTAATGAGTAATAAGGGTGATTTTGGTGAAAATAGAGAAGTCAAAAGTATATCTGTGGCAGAAATATCACCAATACCTAAGGTATTAACGTCACAAAGGAGAAATAATGGAGTTATTAATACCACCCCAGATATTGACTTAAGCTGTGCTTATAATTGAACCGTCTGCTTGTGTTAGTGGTGGAATTGTGGGTTTTGTAAAGTTGTGATTGAGAGCTTCAGCTACAAAGGATCTAGGCCCGTTGGGATTGGCCAGCAGTTTATCCCTAATTCTCTGTTTGTGAAGTTCTTTACTTTCAATCATTCTGAGTTTGCAGCTGTTGCGAGCATCCACCAACATTGGGATGTTTGGGCCACTACCGGTAGGCGAGATTTTTAGAGGCGACAGCTTGCTCGCAATTTTTGTTTAACAAGGGTTTGCCGTTAGAAGTTCGTTTCATTGAATAATGAATATATGCATCCATAGATTATAGCATAATTTCCGTGACTTCACAAGCATAAGTTGATGGATCATCAGAGCTGAAAACAATATCTGGCCAGGGAAAATTTCGGAAATGATCATAAAGATCTTCCCACTCAACAGATCTGTAATGCCAAACTTCACGCGGCTTAGATTGTTCACCAATATTTATCGGTAATTCACTCAACACTGAAATGAGTTTGTGGTCAGAAGATTCCAATGGAGTTGAGTTGAGTCCTCTGATGT